TTTGCATCTAAAATGCATTGCAAAAGAAATCTTTTTAAAAGTTACTTTCCTTTTTTGTCTTGTTGAAAGGCTATCTTCATTTTATTTCTGTAGACTCAATCCCTATATTATAAACTCCCCTCAATGCCTCTGACTGCACAGTACGTCAATAGATATTGCTTTTGGAAGCTAGGAAAGTGCTTACTCTTTAGTCATTTGAGTAACAGTTCTCTTACCTAGAAGTTGTTCAGTGTTTCATCAAGTATCATTTTTTAGGATTTGCTATATAAGTGGCTGTTTTCATTCTAGTAACAAATTGACAGTGTTTCCAGAAGTGTCATAATACTTGTGTAATTTTGGTACATGTAACACAGATTTTTTTTTTTTTGCCATATTAAATTCCCCCTTAATTCAAAACTTTTTAAGAGCCTAATAAATTTTAGTTCAGAAAAGTATCAAGTAAGATCTAAGTTTTTCTCTTAGGTTTTTTCCTCTGTTTATAATTTATTAGTCAGCAGAATATGACTCAACGGGGAATAGACCGATATTCACAAAGAGAAATCTTAGGAAGTTTGTTGCAAAGGAAAGTGCAGCAGACCCGCCCCCCACTGATGATCCTGATCTCTAAGTAGTCACCAGGAGCCCCCCTCAAACTTAGTAAATATAGGAGCTTTAGCAATATGGGGTCACTATAAAAAACACTTCAAAATAGTAAAGAAATACTATATTCTTCCATGTTCTTAAATTTTTTTCTAGATTTACCTTCTAAAGGCAACTTTATGGTAACTTTTAAGTTCACAGTATAAATGTTTGAGATAATATTATCAGCATAATTTTTCCTGTATAAGATATTTAAGGTTATTAACCTAAAACACAATAGAGTAAGATAAAATTATTGTACTCCTTTTGTCTACTGTAAAAAGTTCCTTAAAATATTCTTTATTATGTGTCTGTATATATACATGCACATATAATCTTTATCCATATTTCATTCAAAAAGGTGATTCATTTAGCTAATCCCATTAAAAGAGTGCAAAATGAGGCTCATATAATTTGGGTCATTCTATATACTCTCTGGTTTAAATGGTAAAAATTTCCAGTACTACAATCTAATGTTCACAGGGCAGTGAGAGTTACTACATAGCAAATAAGAAAAGTAATGAATAACATGTGCAGAAACTACAGCCAAATATCTGAAAAGCATATTGCACTCAGTGCATTGCTATGTTGTATCACAAAGGACCACCCTCTGTTTGTGGAACCACAGGGAAGAAAACTGGACCTTTATACCACATGCTGGATATGTAACCTTTTTCTGTAGAGGCTCTAACTTCTCCCAAAGAATAAAGAGCAACAGTGGAAGAGAAGAGAACTGTGATTAATTTAAATTCTGACCCCCCCCCCAAAGTGGTAAAAAATACTTAGGGTAGAAAACAGTGCTCTTATGATGTTTGTAGATTATACATTGGGTCACTTTTGGTATTTGTAAAATTAAGGCTTTAGATATTCTCAACCATAGATGTGTGGTTTTTGATAGACATTTGGAAGAATTAACTTGTGTGGTAAGATTGTTCTAGACTACAATGGAAATTGTACAAATACAAAAGCAGGTGTACAAAAGTCAATAAAATAAACTCTAATAAGCAAAGTAAGTGACCTTTTATGAGGTAAAAATAAAATAATAGAAAGGAATACATTGTGGATAACTGTTAACATGAAGTTAAAGAAGTTTAATATATGCTGTTTCTTTTACCTGTCATGAGCTCTCCTTTCTTTGTCAAGGCCGAGTCAAATTCTGACTTATCAAGGAAGCATCTTGCAGCCCATGCTAATTTCTGCATCCTCTGAATTTATCAAATACTGAAAATTATATCGATAAGCTTTATGCTACACTCATTTTTAATGTCTTGTAGTTTGTTTTACTCTCTTGTAAACCCTCCTATAGCAAGAAACATGTTTTAATGGGATGCTTTAAAATCATAGAAGATCTTTTAGCTCATTTCAGCTTGAGTAACTTGAGTCCCCTTAAACCATATCCCCTCCCTAAGACAGCTGACGGATGCCCACAGCACATCATGCCAAAGCTGAAAGGATACTCTTTAGTGCACCCTTGCATTTTTGCTTCCCTGGGTGAACTTGGTGCTTATGTGGAATCGGTGGGTGCTTGTTCCCTAATCTGTTTATTCCTGTTTACTTAAAGTAATCATCCATTAATTAAATATTTCATAAGTCTTCAAAATAATAATTTAGTCAAAATTGTTGCCAGGAAAACCAATTATAAGGCTCTAGAAAGACTTTTTGAGTTGCTAAAATTTTGCTGTTGTAATTGGGGTGGGTAAGATAATGACCTGAGGTGGAGGGCATCATTACATTCTTGTCTTCACTTTAATGAAACCAACCATGGATTGTTCCTCATGAGGGAAATTTCTGCAACCAAAATGTGCACAAACGGCAGACCCCTGTGCAAAGTAAGCTGCTTTGCCCTACATCACAAGTTTGTACATTTATGTTTTGAGTTAAATGTTTTAAGTATGTATATTTTATTCTTTGTGAATTCCCGCTTAAACCTGGCATCTTTGTTTAGCAATGAGCTACTTTTTTCAAGCCCATCGGATATGAGGGCTTGCGCTGTTTCTTGGCTCTTCTTCAAAACCTGTTGTTCGCTTTTATCTTGATAGTGAAAGCAGGTACCTTTGCTGGTAGCAAGTACAGTATGCCTTTGGCGAGGTCTCTCACTATATCATCATATTTTTTAGAAACAGGCATTGTTCTTGCCAAGGGAATTCATACTGTTTTTAACACCTGAGTTAACCACACCCACAGAGTAGATGAAAATTCTCAACCAGTTTTTATTTGGGGGTATTGAAAATTGCAGTATCAAGCAGAGAAAGCAGTGGTTGGTTGTGGTAGCCGTGAAGAAAGAAAGCAATGTTTAATCCAGCTCTCATCTGATGCTGCTTTAAATAACTAATATTAGCTCACCATGCAGAGATGTCTCCTTCATTACGCATTCACTGATGAAAAAATACCATTTTCTAGCTCCATTGATCCCATGGTATGACTTCACAATGTGTTTACATCGTAAGCCTGTTAAAATGTAGAGAATTTGATAAATATTTTCAAATATTTCTCTCTTTTCATGCCCATTTCCCATTTGCTTTTTAGAACATTTCTTGGTAAGCATTCTATAGTCTCATGGTCCCCATCCTTTTTGTCACCAGGGAAGGGCTTCTATGAGAAGCTAATGCCTGATCATCTGAAGTAGAGCTGAGGCGATGATGTTAGCACTGCCAGAGGCTGCAAATACAGATGAAACTTTACGAGCTCTCCTGTCGCGCACCTCCTGCTGTGCGGCCCGGTTCTTAACAGGCCATGGACCAGACTGGACCAATACCAGTCCGTGGCCCGGGGATTGGGGACCTCTGCTGTAGTCTATGTTTAAAACATTGGCCTAGAGTCAGTGGGCTTACCAATTTACATTAGCCTGTTAAGAGAAATAAATAAAATTTGAAAACGATATAAAAATTGCTGAGGAGAAAAGTGGGCTAACAGTGAAAACGCCCATTAATGGCCTTACACTCATCCATTTTCTATTATTCATAGTTGTGTCATTTTGTACAATTGCCAGACTCTGAAAGAAAATCCAAAGAAAGAGTTAAAAATAAATCGTTCATACAGCAGCCACTTACTGAGTACCTGTTTTGGGTTAGCACTAGGAATACAGAGGTGAGAAGACTGATTCACTCTGCAAACAACTCAGAAGTCTAAGGCAGTGATTCTCAAACTTGAAATAAAAAACTGGAGTTTGGCTGAAGCCTTTCAGAAGGGCCGTGGGGCTTTCTGAAAGTACATGTGTGTGCAGAGAGAGTATCTACTGCTAGGAATTTTTCCTAAAGAAATAATCAGGAAAATGTGCAAGATGTTGAATCTTTCAGAGTAATGATCTTCATTTTTAAATAGGATAATAAATGATTTACCAGATGTTCCAAACAGACATTATTAGACAGCTACTCCACTTAACTTTGATAAAGAATTTAGCTCTGAGTTATTTTTCTTGTCCACTAACTTTGTGTGTTGTTACTTAGTATTTCATTACTGTCTTCATAGTTTACTAAGCCAGTTCACTGTTTAGTTTTCCTTTCTTTCTCCTTGATTGCCAATGCAGTGTAAATAATACATTAATTATGCTTACGCATTCTGTCTTTGAACCATTCTATCATTGTCCCGGGTCTTATATCCTAGGTGGTTTTTAAAAGTGTGTTGTAAGTTGATCCAAAGTTAATACAAGAATGCTTTTCGTATGGGGCTGCTGTTCTCTGTTCCTGATCCATGTTTATATAAAAGTTTGCTTGCTTCTACTTGGCCATTAGTTAATAGCTTTGGAAGAAAATTGAGGTACATGGACTATGTAGCCAAGCGCTTGGTATTCACTTTGGTCGATTTACCATAGTATCTGAGAACAGGTTGAGAAGTTAGCCAGCTCCTTACTATCAATTTAAGTAGAATTTTAAGTTGTTTTAAACATATAGTACATTGCCTAAGACCGGCTTTCAGAGTCTCAAAACTTTTATTCTCCAGGAATGATAGAGAATTCAGTTAGTATTTGAACTACCATTCAGCAGCTTTTTTGGCCTTTTTGATTCAAATGTGAAAAATTAGAAATGCTAGTGTTATTTGTTAGGAAGTAATGGAATTTCTGAACTCAAATGTTATTTCTTGCACAAGTTAATGCAAACTAGTGCTGGTAAATTGGTAACCTAGTGCTTAACAAAGCATTGCATCTTCTATTTGTCTCCCAGAGGTTTGCTCTAAGACTTTGGTTTTGTTTTTTCCTTTAAAGTGGCAACCAGGTTAACAAAAAAACACAAACATCGGCAAACCTAAGACTTTTCCGTAATGGTTCTTCATAGAACTGCATATTCATTTGGATCTTCTATTTCTTTTATCCTGTAAAACAATGACATTTCAAAAATCCTTTCTTTCAGAAAACAGAGCTAATTGATAATTTGTTCTAATTTAAGGGTTTCTCCTCTTCAAAAATCTGAAGTCGTTGAGATGGTTAAGAAACAAGTCAAAGCTATAACGCTTGCGATTGGTGATGGAGCAAATGACGTCAGCATGATACAGACGGCGCATGTCGGTGTTGGTATAAGTGGCAATGAGGGCCTTCAGGCAGCTAATTCTTCTGATTACTCCATAGCTCAGGTAAAGCATCATTTCTGCAAAACACACTATTCTTCTCAGTCAGCTGACGCAAGGAAGAAGAATATATTAATTTTTTTCCATTCTTATTTTAGTTCAAGTATTTGAAGAATTTATTGATGGTTCATGGTGCCTGGAACTATAACAGAGTCTCCAAGTGCATTTTGTACTGCTTCTACAAGAATATAGTCCTCTATATTATCGAGGTAATACTAATTCAAGTTTAAAATCCTTACCATTTGCGTAGATATTTAAAGAATTTTCTTTATGAAGAAAAATGTCTTTATGAAGACATTTTCTTGTTTTAACTAATCCATTTGCCCACTTACTTTTTATAACTTCTAAACGTGTTAAAAAGTTTGTCAGCCATAGAAAATAATTAATGCTTAAATTCTGGCTAAAAATGTATATTGTGTCTACGGCCATGCCACCTTGAACAAGCCCAATCCCGTCTGATCTCGGAAGCTAAGTAGGGTCGGGCCTTGTTAGTACTTATATGGGAGACCACCTAGGAAGACCAGGTGCTGTAGGCATAAAAAAATTTTAAAAATAAGGGATTGTAAGCTGACAAGGTCCTTGCAATCTGTGAGGTCAACCAAGGGTTGCCTTGCCTAAAATAAATAAATAAACAAACGAACAAATAAAATGTATATTGTTTTGATAAGAAATGTTGAATTAGAATTGCTAATGAAATCACGTTTTCAGTTGTAAAAAGACTATAAACTATACAAAAATTTTTGTGAAGCTCAAAAACATGAAAAAACATTACACTAGGTGGAGGTACACACATGGAAAACTGTATTTAAAAGGAAAATAAGGGAATGATAGACATAAAATTGAGGATAGCAGTTCTCCTCAAGGAGGCAGAGGACTGGACTCAGAAAGGAAATGTAGGTAGTTTTGCCTAGTATTGGTCACCTATAGTTCTTATTATTTTTCAAACTTAGATATTTATACCCCTTGCTATCCAGATCTGTTTTGGTTTCTGAGTTTGGTAGGGAGCAAGAGTTCAGATAATGAGGAATTAGTCTAAACATTATTAGGTTATCCAGTTCCTGTGTCTGGATAGCAAGAAATTTTTACATTTTTCATGTATCAAATATGATTTTTTTTAAATGAAAACTTAACCTATATCAGGAATATCACTTTTAAAGGGATGTATTTTGTTCTACAAACAATTTTACAACACCTACAGAGTGCCAGGCACTAAGCTTAGTTCAGCAACTACAAAGTAAATCCAGCATGGTTCCTGTCCTCCAGGAGGTTGCCCATAGAAATATAATGCAAGCCACATGCGCTGTTTTAAATTTTTTAGAAGCCACAATAGCAGCAAGTAAAAATTAAAGCCCAAATTAACTTTCAAATGATATTTTTATTTAACTCAATATATTTAATATTATCATTTCAACATATAATTACTATAAAAATTATTAATGTGATATTTTACATTCTTTATACTAAGTATTCAAAATCTGGTGCATATTTTATACTTACCATATATCTCAGTTTGGACTAACATTTGGACTCTCATTTTAAGTGCTCAAGAGCCATATGTGGCCAGCACAGCACCAGTGGATAAATAAGTAAACTGAATGGTTAATCAGGAAGTGACATATAAGAGACTTACCTTTTTTTAAAAAAAACATATGGCCATTTTATCATCAGAAGCTGTATTTATAATACTTAAACTCTAGATGTTATCAGTTTCTTGCTCCTCTTCCAGCTCCACAGAGTACAATGATAAGCTCTCCATAGCTGTTTAAGAAAACCCTCCATCTTCCGCTCCTGTTAGAGGACCAACCTGTGCCCTCATAAATATGATTAGGGCTTCCTTACAAGATGTTTGTTTATGCCACCTTGTCTTCTAATGTGCTGGCTGTTCCTACACATTTATCAGAAGAGACACAATGTAGCCATTTTCTCTATGGAAATAACAACCCATACTTTACACCAGGGAAGTAACACTATAAACAAAACAGAACAAAAATCTAGATTTCGCATTTACTCTGTTGACAAGCTAGCTGGGAACTGTCACATGTTTGGTTCAATTATTCCTTATGCTTCTGTCAGAATGCTTATCGCCTTGTTAAAATGTTGACTGAACATAGTTCTTATTATGAGTCAGGCTACTATAATTGAAATTTAGTTTTCAAGTGTATAGGCAGTTTCATTTACTGTTCACTAAAGATCTATAATTAAGTTAACAACCCATTAGGTAAAATAATCAAATACTTGATAGCATAAACAGGATAATCTATGAATTTATTGATCATTACTGCTGCTTTGGTCTGGAATAATCTGTGTTTTGAGGCAAAATACACCTCTAAAATAGCTTATGAGATCCAAAAACTATATTTTTTGTTGTGTATATAAATTTGTGATTTTTTCCTAAAATAATTAATTTTGATTACCAATCCCCCCCTCCATAGTTACTAGCTTTTCTAATTATATCTTTCTCTTGTAAAAGAATATCAATTTATACAGTTTATTTACATATATTTTTGAAGCTACCAGAAGTTTAAAGCCATTGGCAGTAATAAATCTGCTTACAAAGATTTAATTTTATAAAATGAAATGAGTACTCAACTCACTGATTTTTTTAAATCTAGATCATTTGACAACCAACAGTGAAGTGGGAAAAACTTATATACTAATGGGGAGATAAAATGTGCTGAACCCAATGAAAAAGTAAATCTGCACTCTGTTTCAAATCCAGAGTTATGTGATTTGTGGTTAATTAGCCCTAAATTTCACTTGACTTTGAATTTAAATCCTCTTCATGAGATATTTAATGCTGACCAAATTCTTTTCATGTTGAAAAGGAAGTAAGTTGTAAACTTTACTGCAAATCTCATTTTTAAGTTATTTTTCTTCCAGCACTTTATGGAAATGTAGTTTGAATATAATTCAGCTATCTTGAAAATGAAGTGACCTTTTCAATCAATTCCCAGATATCCAACTTTTGCCAGTTAAAACAAGTTCTGCGGATGTTAATGTCTCATGTCAATACTGTGAATGAATAGACAGAAAACACATCACTGAATGTCTCTAGTGAGGACAACTGCCAGTCTCGAATCTCTCCTTTCAGTTTTTTGTGCTGATCAGGCGTGGGAGCAGAGGTCTCATTGACTGTTTGTAAGCTGCTGTTTAATATGCAGAAATGCTCCATCAGGAAAATGTCTGTGAAGCTTTAACTGCCACGCCTCTGCTGGGACGTGGAACTTAGAAAATAATACCAGGAGAGGCAGGTCTGAAGTTTCTGTGCTAATAAAGGAATAGTCTGGAACACTGTGGGTTTTATACATTATCTGCAAAACCTGCTTTTTCCCACTGCCAGGGAATTTCACTATCTAGCTACTCTACTGCCATAAATTACAGCCAAAAAAATAAATACAGATTTGGCAGGTGGCTGTGTAAAGCACTTACTTATGGTGGCCTCCCAGCCGCAGCTCTAGATGTTCATTGAAAATACGGGGTCTTTCTAAAGAGTTGGTTTTTTTTTGTTTTGGGGTTTTTTTTTTAATTTCTTTGAGACATCCGACTCCTTCCTACCAAAATAACATCTTTTCTTTCAAACGATTGGTTGCTTCCAGGTTTTCTGGTAAGATCTCAAAACAATATAGTGTTTCTAATTCCAGAAGCTTTGATTAAAGTCAGTGAGGTGATATTTTCCCAGCACATTGTGCTGGGATGTGAGTTTCTTGAGAATTTAAATAATTTAGATACCTCTCCAGAGGGATCGCTGTTTGATGTTTTATTCCTGCACCAGTTGTTTTGCTTGAGTCAAATGAGGGACTTTTATGTGTTTATAGTAATGTAGGTGTTTTATTCCATGCGAGATATCTTTCTAATACATCTTTTAACTACAAATCTCACACTAACTTGAAATCAGCCTTCTGGTAAACTTCTTCACTGTTAAAGATCTTCTCTTTTTTCCTTTAAAATATGTAAACTTGAATGCCAGAATATTGGAGTGAAGCTGTAGGGTACTACATTGGAAGATTTTGCTCTTACCTAGTCATTTCTCCTTTTTTAAAAAAGGAATTCGAATATTAACTTTTAAAGTACAGGAAGAGAATTTCTAAAAACATGTTCATATATCTTTTAGTAGGAAAAATAAAAAGGTAAAAATGTATTAAAATTTAAAAATTTCTGTACTTCTGTCATAAAACAGTTAATTTATGCATTTTTAAAATAAATTTTGAATGCATACATGGTTTATTTGCAAATTATTTGGAATTTGAAACTTTCTATAAATATTCATTGATTAAAGGACTTCTTAAATTTCAAGTTCATAGTAGTATGTTTGAATCAACACCTAATGTTATATAAAGAATGTAGGAGACCATTCACATTTACAAATGTTTACTCACACAGAACAAATTTATTAACATAAATTTCTCATACAGTAATGATGATTGCAAATGCATTTATAACTATAACCTTTGAACCAGTTTATATCCATTAGATGAATTTGGTATGCATGTAGCTTTGGCTTTATTCAAATTAAAGATTAGACTAGTAAGACCATAATTGAAAGTTGGGGTTTAAAAATTCTTTATATTTCTATCATAGCCTAAGTAATATGAAAGAACTTCTTAGTATGTTCACAGTAGATCACAGTCACTTTCAGAGAGAACATTATCATCACCCAGAACATTACAAATATGTATTTACATAATCCACATCTCACAAAGGCCAAATATGAAAACACAATAGCAAGCATTGAAGTCTGTTTTGTCAACTTGTGCATAGCTACCCTTTAAAAAAAAAAAGTAAAGTCAATAGTACTACCCTAAGGAATAAACTTAAGTTCACATGAAGATACTAAACTTTTTTAAAGTTTGCATGTACAAATGAATAATCTGGCTCCTTGTTTAGAGCAAATGTTCAAATTTTTTCTGTAAATATATGTGGCAAAGCAAGCAACAATTTCAGATTTGACTCAGATTGCTATGCTTTGTTATTGTCATTGCTAATGTGTGTTACAACCCTAACACAATTTAGACTTATTTTTCGTGTGCTATTGCTACTTTGGTTTTTTTTTTATCTCGTGAAGCAGACATTCGTTTTTATCTATGCTCAGTCATTCCTTTCCACTATAAAAAGGAAAAAGATCAATCTGGGTACAGAAACTGTTCAGAGGGAGGCCAGCCTCCGTACATATTGATAAATGGTGAATTTGTAGTAATTCATGCTTCCATAATGAGGTTAAATGAAACGTGAAGTGTAGCAAAGTTCCTGCAACTCCAATTCAAAAATTCACTCAACCGGCATATCAAGGCTGCTTTTTTTTATTGTTGTTGTGTTTTGGTTTTGTGTTTGTGTTTATATAATCTCATTGCTACACCAGACTTTTTGCTCTTCCAAATCAACATGACTTTAATTATATTTCAGATCTCCTTTTAAAAAATACTGTAGGTGTTATTGATTTATTAACATTCACTTTAATTTTCCATTTAACTTAAACAGGTTGGAGAAAATTTCTCTATACTACTCCTTAATTTTGTATGCCAAGTTGAGGTTTCTGTTTTTAAGAGAATTAAAAAATATGTAAGAATATTATGTTCTATTAGTTAAAAATTTATTTTATCATAGCATAAATTAAAGTTACAAGATATTTTAATATATAAGTTCTGATTTCATATTCTAATGGCCGTAATTGTCAAAAACTATGAAAAAGTTTAATACTTTGACCCATTAATTCTACTCTTATGAATTTATCCAAGAAGAGGTGAGGAGCACAGGAAACTTTTGGAGGTGATGGATATGTCTGTTATCTTGGTCGTAGGGGTGATTTCATGGGTGTGCACATATGTTCAAACTCACAAAATTGTATACATTAAATGTGTGCAGGTTTTTTTGTATATCAATTACATCTCAATAAAGCTGTCTTTTACCAAAAAAAAAAAAAAGGAATCTATTCTAAAGAAAGATGTGTAAGACTTCTGTACAAAAATATTCAATTCAGAATATATAAAATAGCAAAAACTGGAGGCAAGCTAATTATCCAGAAATAGTTATAGCCACCTTTTAGAGGTTATGCACCCTTAATATCATTTTAAAGGCTATGTAACAACTTAAGAAAATGATTATTACATGATGTGAAGAGGGAGAAGAGCAGGACATGACACTATATACAGTAGGTTTCCAGTAAGGTAAATTTATGAATTCATATAAATGAACTATATGAATATAATTAATACAAAAGAAAATAAATGGTAATTGTATTATTACAGGAAATTATTTTATTTTCTAAATAAACAGGAGATATTTTAAAAGGGAATTAAAGTTCTAAAAATTTAATGACATAAAATATATTCCCTGAAGTGCCTTTTAGAAAACAAGGTTATATTTAATTTTTAAAAATCTATGATTGCCTATTGATACATTTCTTTTTTGATTCAACAAGTGGAACTAATTTTGACTTAAATAACAAATACCTTATGAAAGCATCCCTTCAAGTTAAAAAGTAAAGCAAAAGAAATACCATTTTTAAGAGAGTCATGAAAATACATTAATGCTGGTATTATGAAATGATTGTGTATACAACAGATTCTATGCAATGTATTTATGATTTTTGTATTCTAATTTGAGGGGTCTGGGTTGTTTTCTTCCTAGATCTGGTTTGCCTTTGTTAATGGCTTTTCAGGACAGATCCTCTTTGAGAGATGGTGTATAGGTCTTTATAATGTGGTAAGTTTAGGACATTTGGTTATTCTTGTTTTATTGAATACTTTGAGATAAAGTTTCACCCTGCCTTTTGCTGCTTGGTGTAATGACCAATTTGTGCACGTTAGATGTTTACAGCAATGCCTCCCTTAACGCTTGGAATATTTGAGAGATCATGCAGAAAAGAGAACATGTTGAAGTATCCTGAATTATACAAAACATCTCAGAACGCCCTGGACTTCAATACCAAGGTAGGCTGTGATGTCCCGGCCCGCGTTTAGGGTATTTGCTTTACTGCTGTGATTACGTGAGGCATCTGGTCTTTCAAAGCTCTGGGCTGCCGACCACAGCAAGTCCGATTTGCCTAAGGTTCTGATATGGACTGAAGTTTTTTGTTTTGTTATAAAATTAAAATGTAACCATGATTCACTGAGATTTGCCAGATAATAATAAACTGAGTCTGGCAGACAGATGTGAGTGTCCTTTTGGCCACTGATTTTTCTGTCTCTGCAATGTTGTAGGCAAGTGCTTCCTTCTCACAGGGATCCGTCACCTGGAGTAACAAGGGCCGTCTTTCCACGGGTAGGGGTGATAGAGTGTGCTTCACCAATGTTCTGTTTTGTGAAATAACTTTGCCCTTATTAGAATGTTAGATTGTCTGTATCGAGCATTAAAATTATAGTCTCCAGGAAATAACTCACTTCCTCATAATTTTCAGTATTTCCAAGCCATAAGATTTAAAACATTTTATCTAAACAGATTCTGGGTTTATATCCTGCATAACACAGCATGGTATTTATTGTCGTCTCTTATGATCCATGGTATTTATTCATCCCAACAACAAAAATATTTTATTTTTCTGCATAGTTTACTTTCCTGAAAATATATATTCTAAAGTGTTTTCACCGGTATTTGTTAGTAATTCAAGTTTTTGTTCCGTGCGAAGAAAAGAAATTTTAATTTTATAAGACAAGGTAGATGCCATTTTGAAACTATAATAAAAGTAACAAATATAATACACCTTCACAGAATTTTTTCTCATTTAATATAGTACATGTTTATTAGCATGGTACTAATAATTAGATGTAACCTGAATTCAGTTTAGGACAGTTGGTGTAGGATATTTTAGATAGTTAGCTTTTAAAGCTCTCAAATGACATTTATTCTCAGTATACCAAGAGGATAAAATGAAATAGATGTTTCGTGCCTTTAACTTCACACTCTAAATAGCAGTGCTGAGTTTATAGCCAGGATGTTTTTATACGCTGAGACTAGGTCTTCACGAGTGTGTTGTGCATGCACACCCAAGTGTGTACATACGTACAAGTTGATGGCGTTGTTTTAAATAACTGAATTTGGTTAATTAAAAATGAGTTTTTAGACTTAAACCATTTATTCTAAAAACTATTTAAGTTTATTTATGATGTCCAGTTTATATTAAATTCCACAGCCATGCCATAGTTTTCATTACCTATGGTGGATATTTTCAAGTGATAGAAAGCCATAATTGGGGTAGACACGATGGACTATCAGCCCTTCTTCCCTGAAAAGGTGATCTGAGAGCTAGGAAAGTTCTAAACATCCTGACATAGTAACAATAATTCTCACGGACCTAGACCATTGTATCAATCTCAGCTGCAGGTCCCCAAACTCCGGCAGCTCAGGAGCCATGGTGCTCTCAAGAGAGTTAACTTCGCAGCCACAAATTTGGCCATGTTCCTCTTATAAACATAAATTGATTCTCACTGGATTACCCGAAGCCATTTCTGGAAAGTCACATCCTTTCATGCCCTTTGCACTTGGCAACTTGCACCCAGTTTTGTGGCCAAGGAAAAGGTATAGCAGGTAGTCTATAGTTTTAATGTGCACACATTATTCCTTGCATCCTTTGCCATTATTTTGTTGTTTACAAAGTATTTCATTATCTGCAGAGCCCATGCATTTCAAAAAGTCATCAGATCAATCCAAATACGTTCTATAACTTCTATATCCATGCATTGCCCACCATTGTTATAGGGTTTATGGATTTTTCTAATGATTTCAGTGAAAATTCTTTGATTAAATCCCACATAAATGTTTTAAAATTCACAGACAAATGGCTACAAAATGCATAGTTGTATACACAGCAGTTGCTGTGGGTCCCCAGTGTAGAAGCATTGTTGCCCTGAATGATGATGATTACGTTTGTTATGGTAAAAAGGGTCGGAGGTTCTGAGGTCATGACAGGGGTTAAAGGATTAGCATGTGACAATAAGTATCGGTCAGGAAAATGGAAAAGTAGAACTAATTTTTCTTGCACCCACCTGTGCTTTCTGTCAAATAAAAACTTGTGGTAATGACATAGTGAGGAGAAGAGACAAAGGTTAATGAGTAACACAAGTTCAAATGTGTAATGTATTGGAGCGTAAATTGGATCATACAATCCAGTGTAGCTGTGTGAACTAACAAAGGCGATTGAGATCACAGTGGAAACTTTTGGGAGGCAGGCAACTTAATTTCTGTTGTTTGAACAGCTTAAAACTATTAATACACAGCAATTTTATTTAGCTTAAGTTTTGTTTTCAAGAAGCACTTTTAAATGACAAACTGTTCAAAGGGCCGTAAGAATTCTAAATAGTTCTTCTATATAACTTAATCTTTCGTATCCATGTTACAAAGAAAGTACCAGTGATACTTGCTCTCTTATTCTTAAAATACAATTGACATAGAAAGTAATAACAACTAAGTGATATTATAATTGTATGAAGTTTAATGTTGACAGGTGTTAAAAATTTGCAAATTCACTTGTACTAACAATGCCGTACTTTAAGGAATTATGCAATTTAAATGTAATACCTGCTATTTGTGTGCGTGTGTGTGTGTGTGTGTGTGTGTGTGTGTGTGTGTGTGTGTGTGTGTGTGTGTGTGTGTGTGTGTGTGTGTGTGTGTGTGTGTGTATGAAAGAGAAGATATTGATTTATACCTTTATTGCACATAGAAAGAGAAAGGGATTTAACCAAATTACGATATTTTCGAAATTCTCTTCTTCTGAAATTATGAAAATAATCCCACTTAGAGAATTTCAGAACTTGCATTTATTTTAAATTTCATTTTATTTTTCAGGCAGAAATTTAAACTTTTAATACTTGGCTTTTAAAAAATAGAAAATATTTCAGTGAAGCTGAAAAAACATTTTGAGAAACATAAAAATAAATAAATGACCCATGAAAGTCTAAGTGGCAGAAACTGTCTGTCAGTTCTATTAATTCACAGTGGTGGCCCAACAGAGACACGTTTTGTGAATCTAGCTCACAGATAAAAAGAAAGGTCAGAGTTCACAGAGCTAGTTTATCGCAAATGGTTCTCATGGATTTTTGTTTTCCCTCAGGTTTTCTGGGTTCATTGTTTAAATGGCCTCTTCCACTCAGTTATTCTGTTTTGGTTTCCACTAAAAGCCCTTCAGTATGGTAAGTAGAAAAGATATGAATGCTAAGAGATGAGTTTTTACTTTTTTAGAAAAATAACTCATTGACAATATATGTTTAAAATTGCAGCAGTGTTTCATTATATGTTATTTTCCTTAACCTAAAATACATACACCCAAAAGTCATATACACTTTAAGATTTTTATTATTCCTTTGGGAGCAAAGTGATTTAATATATGCAAAGCCTTTCTTCTCTACTTTTCATGTTTTCTCAACTTGCAGAGTTAAATTTTAGGGTTCTTTTTGTCCTCTGTTGGTGTACAGTTTGAAGACAATATTGCTAATATTTTATGTAGCTTATTTATTATACTTCTGAGCCTTGTATCAAGCTCTTTATACTGGACCTTATCAGACATGCTAGTATTTTCACGTATACTTGAGCCAATGTCTTGAATGAGAGCTTTAAAACATTTTTATGTTCATCTTGGAGTGTAAGCTTTTTTCCACTTGTTTTTAGGGAGTGATATTATTCTGTCAGTTTTGACAGATAGGATCATGGTGAATTTTCTATACACATAAAAATGATTAAGTAGCCACTTTAGAAAAGAGATCTCTGTGATGCTTAAGCTGGTGCTGCTGTGTCCTGGAGCAGATCTCGCCTTGAGGTCCTGAGGAAGACAGTTGACCATTCAATGCCTCTGTCCAGACTACAGCAATTAAAAACACAACACATACTCCACCCAAGATTTTGTCAGTCTTTTGGAAGTTCAGTCAGTCGTACCCTGGTGACTATAAGTTAATGGTTACCAACAGAAGAGAGTCCTCCCCATCCCTTCTTGCCCACCTACAGTCTATTCTCCTCAGGCAGCCAGAGTGATCCATATAGAACATAAATCAGGCCAAGTGTCTCTCTCCTCAAAAACCCACAGACTTCTTTCACACTTGGAACAGAATCCACAGCCCCAACCTTGGTTGACTCCTCCACCTTTCCCCACCCCCATTTTCCTTCACAACATGCCTCCTGCCAACCCCCATGCAGTCCTCATTCTTCACCCAGATATTCCAGCTGGCTCTCCCCTTCACTCCCTCAGGTCTCCGCTCAGAGAGAACTTCTCACATCACTCTACCCCGCTTGTCATCTTGTATCTTCCTTCGTGGTACTTGCCTGTCAAGGTGTGATATATGTGCTTATTTTTATTGTCTTTTTCCTCTATTAGAATCAAAGCTCCAGAAGGTCAGGGAATTGTCAGTTTATTTCACTGTTGTATTTACAGTACTTAAAACATTGTAGGCACTCGGTAAATTGTCAGTGAGTTAACAAGAGCATGCAGCATGAATGGGCTTAGTGTTACATAGAAGGCAATGGTTTCATGTCCTAGTCAGAGATTTTTATTTCATGTCTTTATTAATTGCCTTGCCCTTACAACAGTAAATACTCCTATTTAAGACCATGGAAAAATGAGTGTAGTAAGAAACCTAATTAAAGTATAGAATATTGACCCAGTAGGCAAGGAGAACCGCAATGATTTTTTTTTTTTGGAGATATAATTCACATATCATAAAATTCACCTTTTTAAATTATATGATTCAGTGGTTTTTAGTGTATTTACAGAACTATGCAAATGTCATCACTATCTAATGCCAGAACATTTTCATCGCCCCATAAAGGAAACCCCATACCCATTAGCAGTCACTCTCCGTTTTGCCCCACCTTCCCTCAAAGCCCCTGGCAACCACTAATTTTTGTCTCTGCGGATTTGCCTATTCTAAATGGAATCATGTAAGATGTGACCTTGATTTATCCATTTTGCAGCATGAATCAGTACTTCATTCCTTTTTTATGGCTGAATAATATTCTACTGTATGGCTATACCACATTTTGTTTATTCATTCATCGGTTGATGGATATTTGAATTGTTTCCACTTTCTAGAGTTGTGGGTTATTAAAATGCAGGGTATAATTCAGGATACCTTGACCATGGACAAGTTCTCTAGGAAATTTTTCAAAATACAAAATCAGTATGAAAGACCAGGCATATCCATCTATTAAACTGCTATTTCACCATTTCAAATTAGAAAACAGAAATTTAATATCAAAAGTAGCTCAAACAAAATAGCATCCAAAACACCTAAACAATGACAGGGTTTGAAAGGCTTTCGCAAAAAACTCCAGCTCCTGGAGAGCAGATCATAGGTCTCCTGTGTGTTTGCGGGAAACTGCCCAAGCCATCCAGCCTCAGTAATTTACAAGGGGTGCTGCCTGTGGAACCCAAATCTAGCCAAGTCCAGAAAACTCATGCTTTCTATTCTTATGAGATAAATAACACGCAGCATAAATTTCATTTTAGCATTCTCATGTCGAGGTTTTTGTTGGGGTTTTTTGCCTTGTTTTTCATTTTTAAATAAGGAGGAAGCTCTTGTTTTTGTATTTTTAGCTTTAGAAAGAATGAAGTACAGAGGAAATATAAACATATTATATAATGTATAGCTAAATATTCATTTATTCACCTCATCAAAGAATGATCTGTAGCCACCTAGGAATACCTAACACCTTTTGGGAGTTCATGAGGTCAAATTTAATAGTTTCAAGTTTTTTAATATTTTCAAGACAATATTATCTTTTTCACTGCTGATACAAAAGCAATAGTGGGTAAATTGCTGGTACCTTGGCACAGCTGTGATACACCTGTACCAGTCATTATATTCTACACTGCTACACACCCACATTAAAAGGCAACAAAAAAGGGCCAGTTTCATTTAATACCCTTGAAGATGCCATAAAACTAATACTTTGACTAAATCTCAAAGCTTGATACATATCTTATTAATATTCTGTGTAACAAAATGGGAAGTACACATAAAGCATTTGTGCTGTTTACCAAAATGCAGCAGTGGTTTCAAAGTCAAATGCATTATGAATTTTTTGAGTCGCGAGCTGAACCAGCTACTTTCATGAGGTTACAGAATCATGCCTGAGTAAATGATTCATTCAAAGTGCAAAGTGGACCAGTGCATTTTAATGTAGTAGACTATCAAAATTCTACACTGCAACTAACCTTTAAGAAACTCTCTCTACCTCGTAAAGAAACCACTTGTTGAATTTTGATCTAGTATCAAAGAATACCTAGTTATTAAAAAAGATTGTTAAAATACTCCTCCTCTTTATAGGTCCATTTCACTATGAAGTTAGATTTTCCTCATCTATTTCAATCAAAAAAATAAAAAAATAGAATAACCTGGCTGCCTTCTTTTAAGCCAAATATTAGAGATTGTAAAAATGGAAAACTGCCAATTTTCATTTTTTTCATTTTGAAGTTATTTTTTCATAAAATCTGTTGTTTATATTACCATTTATTGGATTTGTTACTGTTATTTTTAAATAAATCAATACATATTCTTTAATTTTCTGTCTTAATTTCTAATTTGGTAAATATTGACAGATAGAAACACATAAACAAAATCTTTTTGGGGATCCTCAGTAATTTTTAAGACTATAAAGGGTCCAGAGACCAGAAAATATGAGAACAAATGATTCATCTGAATCATCCAAATGCTAAACCTGACAAACCTAACAACAGGCTTTTTTTTTTCCTTCATTGTGATTTTCAATCTCCATCTTCCTCCCAATGAACCAATGGTTATTAGAAGGCTTAGTTAGACCCAACTGTGATTATTTTTAGTAACTTGCTTACATTGGCCAAGGCAGCTTACCAGTGTGCCACACAGCACAAGTGTCCAAGTCAGGAAGTAATCAACATATTTTCAGTTACTTTATAGTTTTCTGAGTTTGTTAATTTTATTGTATAAAAATTGGCAGATTAGTTGCAAACATTTAGAAGTTTGCACACAACATACCCATAAGATGTAGCACAGCAGATGCTATGTTTGTAATCATGGAATACCCTCATAGTGAAAGGTGGTTTCCCAGATGACTTGGCTGACTGGTAAGTAGCCCTTCCTGGCTACTTTTACCTGAACGCTTTAGGGAAGGGTCACATTTTTGAACACCTGCCATGTGCCGGGCACCATGCTTGGTACTTCACACATGTAACCTCCTTTTAACCTAAAACCCCTGTAGGGTAGGGAGTTTCACTCTATTTTTCAAGTGAAGAGACTGAATTTCATAGAGATTGATTATAAATTACGCAAGATGACACAACTAGTAATAGAACCAAGCCTCATCTATATCTCCAAAGCTCACCTGACTCTCTTCTGTTCATACCAGTACCATTCTCCCTGGCTCATTCCATTCTTTATTCTAACATATTTTGTCCTTACATATTAGACTTTGAATAAATATTGTTGAATATGTGCATAAACAATATACCGTATTATACACACCATGGGTTTAAAATTTTTCAATTATACCAGTGATTTTGTTATTCAGTTTTTTTGTTTTTTGGTTTTTTTTTCATTTCATTTTTTAAAAATCAGTATAGTGATTTTTGCTTGTTAGCTACCATTCCCTTCATCTAAAGCCATGTTCCTTAATCATTACTGGAATAACGAAATGCCTTAAAAATGCCTTAATCTATACCCCTAAATTCAGCCAGATCTTCAAAGAGCTCTATGCCTGGAATCATTTTATGCCTCTCACCCCCGTGTGAGTTGCTCTTATGAATCCTTATTGGTCCAATGCCAACAACTTTAGTAAGAGATAGTAAGAATGCTCCTAAAACCTTCATCTACACTGCTAAGAAAATTCTTTGCTAAGGGTTCAGAAGGCCTTCTCCTGTCTCAGTGTTCATAGCATTAAGCTTTGCTTAAACAATTAGTTGTTTTTTTGTTTTTTGTTTTTTATTTCATGGACCCCAAGAATTGGTTAACAAGTCAGGTTTCCTTTTTCTTGTTGGCTTTTGGAAATTTGTTTTTAATTTGTGACCCGTATTATAGCAACTTGGTGAGACTTCTTGTGGTAATTTTTTTAGCTTTGTTACTGGCTCCTTTGGTTTCCCTTCTTTTGTTCACCACTACTAAGTTGATTGATGTTTGAAAGCATTCTAAAAGGACCTCAGTTATTTTCTTTTCCAACAAGCCTCTCTTTTTCTCATGCAGGTACTGTATTTGGAAATGGGAAAACCTCCGATTATCTGCTGTTGGGAAACTTTGTTTACACTGTGAGTGTGGGACATTGGCCTGGTTTACATAGAAAATAGAATTCTTTCATATATGCTCATTTTATTTTCAAATTTAAATGCATTTCTGGATTCATGGGTTGGTTACACTTCCCTTTAAAAATGAAATGAGATGTTTTGATTAGTAAAAGATTATTTTATATTAGGTTATTAAAATGTCATGTAGGTTCACTGACTTTATAGGACTTGCTTGTTATTATTTTCAGTATTTCCTCTTTAACCCCTCATTTGCCCTTGTTCTCTTCCTAATCCCTTTTTCCTCAGTTTTATTTTACTGACCTTGTTAATTTTTTTTGCTCTTCTGAACTTATGGCAAATATACTATTCTTGGGTGTTTAACCAGTAATTGTTCCAGAGTCTCATGGTAACTAAAATGGGAGAGAAATCTCCACTCTTTGGGGACATTTCACCCACACAAGGCATGAAACCCGTGGTATCAAGTCATTATTCCAAATGCTTGAGGATCAAAGGTGAAGCTTATTCCTGTCATAAAGAGCCAAAAATTGTTTTAAAACCATTTTTTTCCCCGTGAACAGCAAAAGCAGTGCTTGAATGTGAATGCCCAATATCACACAGTTGGTATCTGATAAAAATTTACTACAACTCTTAACTCTGAATTTTCAAACCAATGTTCTTTCCTCTCTACTCTCGTGTCCCTCTCCGTGATCCTTGAATGTGGGTGACATGCTGTTCTAAATACTAAGTGGCTATTGGTGTGGCTGACTCAGTTGGTAGAAACACTATAATATGATGTTTAAATATCAAGTGTTTAAATAACTGAGCGATAGGAACTTAAGGCTATTAAGTAATATAGGGATTAAAGTTTTGGCAAATCCAGGGTTTCCTTTCCATTGACATCAACCTTCTAAAGTAGTAAGAGAAAGGGAAAATATGTTCTAGGGGGCTGGCGATTTGTTCTCATACAACATGAGTGCAAAACAGAAGTAGGTAAATACTTGATAGAGTTAGTTGAGAAATTAATCATTATGTATCGTGGATTTTTCCTAGGGAGACATTAAAGTACCCAGATCTCAAGAGGGAATTTTTCTTTAATTTTATATCAAACTTATCTCTTATTTTAGAACTTTTTATATAGCTTAAGTTAATTAATATTTACATTTTAATAAGAATTTTATTTCTACCGATATTAATCCTAAATTGCTATTAGATATCCTGCTGAGAAAGTCCAAATGCTTCACTTGACCTAACTTTATGACCCCGCTGGGAAGCATCTGAGCAAATACTATGTGCAAATCCTTAAAATGCCTGAAAGTAGGACTAGGCACTTCAAGCATGTATTGATCACCAGTACTACACAGACATCACTGCAAACTACTGAAAGTGCCCAAGGTTCTCTGGAATACTAACAATGTTTAAATTTTTATTATTAAGTATAAATAGATCATAATAGATAACAGTGTTCTTGATATTTTACATTCAAACCCCAATGAGGTAGGTGAACTTTTTCAGTCCCAGTTTACAGATGAAGGAGATGAGACACAGAGATGTCACCTAACTTGCCTTCTTCCCTAACCAAAATAGCTAATGATGGAATCTTGAGCACAAATAGTCTGACTTTAGGCCAAGTGCATTTAACCATTATGTTATCCTATGGAAAATACAGGGCAGTTCATTAAATCTGGTTCCCTTACTTCAGAGTTAGTAGCATAATCACCAGTGATGATGGGTGCATACATCACATCACAAGCTCTTATATCCAGCTCTGCGTGATTTCACGTAAGCAGAGTTACAGAGTAAGTATTTAGATTTCTAAATATCCAATTATATTACTTTTAGAATTTACCTTTAAAATTCAAAAAGTGGTGTTTTTAAGTATTAAAGATGTTGTAAAATAAAATTAAAGCAAGCTTGAAAACCCAAGTTACTGCAAACATATGTTCTTCATCACTATTTATGAATTGTACAAAAAGTAAGAAGACACATGCTTAGGAGCCTCATGGATGGACTGTAAGGCTGTGAGGTAGGGAGAGGCAGAGAGGGGAGACAGATGTGTGATGCTGCTAAAGGGCAGTTCTGGCTGGTCACGGTCGTAATGTTCAGCCACACAGCTAAATCACTTGACTCTTTGTTTGTTGGACTTACAAGGCAAGCTGTAAAAAGTCTAGTGGATCATCTAATTCTGAAATACCTGTTCTTCATAAATATCACTTTCAATCATTTGATCTATCATATTTATGAAAAAAATAATGTTTTCCCTTCTGTTTTAGTTTGTGGTGATAACTGTGTGTTTGAAAGCTGGATTGGAGACATCTTATTGGACATGGGTAAGAATATCTCTAATCACAACAGAAATGTCACATTTAATTATGTGTTATTGCTAATTGTTTTGTAGTTTGTCATTCTCTCTCTATGTATCCTTTAATTCTAGTTCCCCAGGTTGTAAATTGTGGAGGGATAGAGGGTGGAGAACTAGAGATTCTAGTTTGGAAACACTGAGTAAAACAAACAAGTAAGTTTATTTAACACAAGACTTCTCAGAGCCTTTAACATATTACTGTATATTGTGAATATCCCACAAAGGGGGGGTGGAGGCTTTTAAACTTATTGACAAGGAAAATTTTTTAGTAAAGTGTGTCACAAGACTGGCATTCAACAGAAAACCCATTGCAAATGATTCTGAAGACAAATAGTATTAGCAAAAGATTTGTCCTCAGACATTTGTGAATATCCATAAGAGTAAACCAAGTTCCATTTTAGATAACTTTAGTTTTGAAGTATAGTCACATCCAGATAGAGAGAACCTAGTAAAAAAAAAAAAAGTGGAGGAGACAAAGAAAGAAAATTAAAGTTTGATGCTCAGGGGAAAGATTAGCGTAAGAAATTTGGATTTGACTGTCATGAGCATACAAATAGCATTCACACAAGTGTCTTAACACCTTTCAGCAAAAGTATGCAGAGCAAAAATCAAGGTGGCTTAAAGATGATAAAAAAAAAAAAGAGTAGGAGGAGAGACCCACTGAAGGAGGTAGAGAAAGAACAGTTCCAGATACCAGTACCACAATCATCATAACCACTGTAGAAAGAAATAAACACTTAATGAAAGATCCAGTTAAAACACATACATACACACACACACAACTATTTATAAATTTCCATAGATTATATTTTTTGGATGTAGAAAACAATTAATAATGGAATTTGTGAAAGCTATTAGTGGTTGTATAGTCAGTCTACCTAAAAGTTTTTTGACTCCTATTCCCTTCCTTCACAGTTCAGCCACATAGCGATTTGGGGAAGCATCACACTCTGGGTGGTCTTTTTTGGAATCTACTCTTCTCTGTGGCCTACTGTTCCGATGGCTCCTGATATGTCAGGAGAGGTAATGTGTCCTAATAACTCATAATCCAACAAACCTTAAAAATTGGTATTCATTAATGAACCTGAACTGTTTGGTTTCGATTTATATTAAAATAGCATTTGAACATTTAAAAGCTATTTTTAAATTACATAGTCGTAAGTGATAAATCTTGAGAGAATATTTTAAACTTGGACATTTTACTTAAATCTGACTTATCTTTTCATAAACATAGCAGAGACAATAAAATATGGTTGTCAGGAGCTTGAATCATGTTAAGAATATCCATATACAAAATGCCACTTTAAAATTAGGACATAAATCCATAAATACATTTTGGATGAGAGATTTGGGAAATAGTGAGCTTATGTCTTTGGGACAGTCGATCATTTCTTCTTTTATCTCCTTTTCTAAAGAAAAGTCTATTATCACTAGATTAAATGCACTTTTAGAGTTGTCTTAATGATATCAGTTTGGTTTTCATTTTGAAAGTTAGGACATCTGACATTTCAACCTTATCATAGTCCATTTTCAATTCTGTCTTTCAGTTTCTTGTTACACTAGTAGGAATCAAGTTATTAGGTGTTCATGGGGGAATGTCACAAGATCTCCTTTCCTTCAGAAGAGATTCCAGCAGTAGGAGGTTTATGATTTCAATTGCAGGAAATTTGACATAAAATGTATAAAAGAAAATGTGGAAAACATTTCAGGATTTCCTGTGACCTCACAGTAACTTGCAAATCAAGGTAATGTGAGCTCCATTACAGTACATTGTTTTCCCCTATAGTCCCAGGAAACCTTTCCAGTGGTTTCCATGTATTTGTTGTCTCTAAGTACTGCCTGAATACCTTTCACTTTTGACAGTCTGGTTTATATATCATTTTCATGAAATTTTATCTGACAGCATCCTGCTTTTTATAAATTAGCAGAATGCAGACATGTTAAAAAAAATTTTTTTGCGGTTAAATTTACTAGAGAGAAGCATTATATATACCATTACAGAGAAACCAGACATATCAAAGAGCATATACTCCCTTCCACCAAAAGTGAAAGCTTCTTTTGAAACGTGTACTGTGAACTCTAGAAAATATACAGGATATATTTTGAGAACAGAGAAAGCTGTGAATCTATCTTGCTCTTACCTTGGTTTCTGAGTCCTTTTTTCCTGAAGAAATGAAATCAAAGACTAATGTCTAGTGATGCCAATTCTGTTCTTTGTTTTTATTTGATGTGGTCTATCTGTTTTAACCTGCTTTTCCCTGAGGTCAATTCCAACTTAATATCTTTTTCATTAGACCTCATATTATCTCATTTCTTAATGCTCTATCTTCGAAATGAGTGACACAAAAGATTGTAAGATTCAGAAAGCTTAAGCGACTATAGCCAACGGCTTTGATGACAGGAACAGAGTTTTGACCACCTACTTCTAGGACAGGTATGAAGTTTGATTGGCTTTTTGCCAACCAAATATAATTCCACCTTTTCTTGTAGAATTCCTGGTACTACCCAAACACAAAACTTAATATCATCTCCTGGGATTTGTGGTGATGCTGTGTTTAATTCAAAGTGAAATGAATGTCATTACTCCATCATGTTTCTGTTTACATCATATACAGTGGAAAGTGCTAAGGAGAATTCTTTTCCTTGTTTTATTCAACTGATATTTTGAATGTAATGTTTAAATAGCTTGTGCTCCACTGAAAATATGAAAGTAGATGAATTCAATATTAGGCTTGACTAGCTTGTCCAAAATTTAAGTCTGTTTAATTTAGTCCAAGAAAAGAATAGTACTTTAAATTTATGTAGTACTTTATGTTTGCAAAGCATTTTGATATATATGTGTGTATGTAAATGAGCCTCACAACAACTCAAAAAAAGAAGATAATAAGAATGCCACTCAAGTTCTCAAGGACAGGTAGTCTACATTTACTGTTTCCTGGGCACAAGGGTAATAGATCTCAAAAAATACTAGTAGCAATATTCAATTTTTAAACACTTATCGTAAGTAGAGAGTCACTAACTTTATTACAATCCAGTTAATTTCAGAAAGAAGTTACTACCCTTAGGTTTACATTTTCCTAATCTTAAAACTACATTTCAATCAAGAGTATAGCCAAGATTTCTGGTCAAGATGATGGAGCAGATAAACGTTGTGCTTGCCTCCTCTCACGACTGCATCAGAATTACAACTAAACGACAGAACAACCATCATTGAGAATCACCTGAAATCTAGCTGAACAGAAGTCCTACAACCAAAGACACAGAGAAGAAGCCACATCAAGACTGATAGAGGGAGTAGAGAGGCAAGTAAGGGTTGGTTCCACACCCACGTGTGGCAGTTAAATATCAAGAGGGATATCTTGGCTGCAGAGATTTTCCCTTCTAACCCCCCACTTCCAGTGGAGTGAGCGATCCCAGCCACACACCAGGTCCCCCAGCCCACGGTTCCAGTACCAGGAAGAGCAGTCCCCACAACTTCCAGGTATAAAAACCAGTGCAGACTGTGGCTGAGTGAGACAGAAGGCTGCGGGAGTTTCAGACATTCCTCTTAAAGGACCCCACACATGGATTTACTCACTGATGGACTTACTCACTCTGAGTTCCAGTGCTGGAACAGCAGCACGAAAGGCAATAAAGGAACATGTCTCAAATGAAAGTGCAGAACAAAGCTCCAGAAAAAGAACTAAACAAAATGGAGAGAAGCAATCTACCAGATGCAGAGTTCGAAACACTAATTAATTATAAGGATGCTCAATGATCTCAGTGAGAACTTCAGCAAAAATAGAAAACATCAAAGTTGAGATAGAAAACCAAAAAAGAACCAATCAGAAATGAAGAATACAATAACTGAAATAAATAATACATTAGAGGAAATCAATAATAGATTAGATGAAGCAGATACTCAAACAGGCGATTTGGAAAATAAGGTAGCAGAACGGCAAAAAGAAAAATCCAAAAATATGTGGACAGTTTAAGAGGCCTCTGGGTCAACATCAAGTATACCAACATTCACATCATAAGGGTACCAGAAGGAAAAGAGAGAGAGCAAGGAATTGAAAACCTGTTTCAAGAAATAATGACAGAAAACTTTTCTATCCTGGCGAAAGAAATAGACATACAAGCCCAAGAAGCTCAGAGAATCCCAAACAAAAGGAACCTTAAAAGGCTCACACAAGACACATCGTAATTAAAATGCCAAAAGTTAAAGACAAAGAGAGGATCTTAAAAGCAGCAAGAGAAAAGCAGTTAACTACAAGGGAGCTTTGCTAAGACTGTAAGCTGATTTCTCCACAGAAACTTTGCAGGTTAAAAGGAATTTGCCGGAAATATTCAAAGTGATGAAAAGGAAGATTACTCAGCAAAGCTATCATTTAGAATTGAAGGAGAGATCAAGAGCTTCTTAGACAAGAAAAAGCTAAAAAAGTTCATCACCACCAAAACAGTATTACAAGAAATGTTAGAGAGACTTCTTTAAGAAGAAGAAGGAGGAGGGGGAGAAGAAAGGGTAGGGGAGGAAAAGGAGGATCAAAAATGCGAATAATAAAATGGCAATAGCTATGTATCTATCAACAATTATTTTTTAAGTATAAATGAATTAAATCTTCCAATCAAAAGATAGGGTGGCTGAATGAATAAGAAAACAGGAGACTCATATGCTGCCTGCAAGAGATTCATTTCAGATCAAAAGACTCACACAGACTGAAAGTAAAGGGCTGGAAGAAGACATTTCATGAAAATGGAAAGAATAAACAAACAGCTGTGGTAGCAATACTTGTACCAGATAAAATAGACTTTAAAACAAAAGCTATAACAAGAGACAAAGAAGGACCCAATAATCCCACTTTTGGACATCTATCTGAAGAAACCCAAAACACTACTTCAAAGGGACGTGTGCATCCATATGTTCACTGTAGCATTTATTTACAGTAGCCAAGATATGGAGGCCACCTAGGTGTCCATCAATGGATGAATAGATAAAGAAGAGATGGTAAATCTATACAATGGAATATTACTTAGCCTTAAATAAAGGAATGAAATCTTGCCATCTGCAAAAACATGGATAGACCTACAGGGTATTGTGCTGAGTGGAATAAGTCAGAGAAAGACAAATGTCATATGACTTCACTGACATGTGGAATCTAAAGAACAAAATTAAAAAGAAACAAAGAACATTTACAAAACAGATACAGAAAACAGTTTGGTGGTTGTCAAATAGGTGGGTGTTGAGGCATAGTGAAAAAGGAGAAGGGATCAAGAAGTACAAATTGGTAGTTATAAAATAATCATGGGGATGTAAAGTATAGCATAAGGAATATAGTCAGTAATGTAATAACTGTGGTGTCAGGTGGGTACTAGATTTATCAGGATGAACACTTTGTAAGTTATATAAATGTCTAATTACTATGTTGTACACCTGAAACTAATACAATATTGTATACCAACTGTAATTGAAAACTAAAAATATAATTAAAAAATGACTGCCCTATTTTATACTAGTGACAATAAAGACTATTTTGGATACAAAAAAAAAGTATAGCCAAATACATACATACTTATATGCCTGTATATATAAAAAATTCATTTATGTGCCAATATTAATATCTGTGTGTATATGACTGCTGTTATGAACCATTTAAAAGATTATTGTAATAACCCAGTTGAGAGATAATGGTGGCTTGGGCCAGGAGGGTGGCAGTGGTCAGATTCTGAATCTGTTTTGAAGGTCAGGCCAATAGGCTTTGCTAACTGGATATGAGGGGTGGAAGGAAGACTCAGGGAGGACTCCATCATGTTGGCCATGAGCATTGTCAGGATGTGCTTGTCCTCAACTCACAGGATCCTCGTAACATTTTACAGATGAAAAAACTGAAACAGAGAAGTTAAGTGCCTCATCTGACATTTCACTAATACTAAGTGGCAGATAAGATTTTGACTGAGACGTCTTGTCCTAGAGTCTGCTACCTTAAACACGGTGCTATGCTACCATCTGATCATAGTTACTCAGAGGAATCCATGAAATATAA